TTCTGTTAATTTTGTCTCGTTAGCACCGAGACTTTTGTATCGCTTGTTGTTGGCGATGTTGCGCGCCTGATGGACTGAGTTCTTCCTATACATACGAGCTTTTCTGTAAGTGTCAAACCTTGTACTTTGGGGTACACGTTATCAACTTCTTGCGTTAGATTGTTTAATATAATCTATATATATTATATGTGTAATTATTATATGTAGTACACTAAAAACGACTGAAGAAATTAGGGTCAAAATGTTTGTCAAGTCTCTAAAATAAAGAAGTTTATTGACACAAAGATCTGTCTTATTGCCTCAAATTGACCACTTTTCTACTATTATAATGTTTTATATTATAATGTGTAGAACGTAAGTAAGTTTAACCGAAACAGTAGTACCAAACGCTGCCGCGACATGGCAGAAAGCGCGAAGAGAGAGAACAGAAGAGAAGTAGAGACAAAGTAAGAAGCACGAAACGCCGATCGCGGGACGGCTCACGATATATTGTAATTGCCTGTTTTCTTCAAATAAACTTTATTATTTCTTTCTATATCTCCGAGTTACGCCGACCATCTTACACATTCTACAAATATCAGAAGTGGGATTGGTTGGAAAGGAAAAAAAATGTGTGTTATGTGAAAGATTGTGGTGTGCCGAAGTGATCAACCAATGTACATTATACGAGCAAAGCTGGCCCCGGTACGTGCATTGGTTTTGTGTGACTAAGAAACGAAAAGAAAAAAAAGGAGGATTAAACGTGCTGGACTTGAGGAAGATTTCGGGCCGCCAGACGATACGAATCCTTTTCCTCGTGTATCAGTACTGAAAGTATTTGCCGTCCGCCATATTTAGACGGACATGCAACACCAAGGTGTTGCTCTAGAAGCCTTATATCGCGCTCGATCTGCGAGTCAATAACGGAACAAAGCCGGTAACGCTCGCGGTCGATAACGACGGCAGCGGTATTACTTACCGGCGCTTTCGGCTATTGGATGACAGTTGAGGTTACGTAACACGCGAAACGTTACACGGTAACTACCTGATCATCGCCAGCGAGTAGATTTGCAAAGAAAATAAGAAGGATCACGATAGAAACAGCAAGACAATTTACGATAGCACAACTTAAGGAGGTGCTAAGTCATCGGAATTTGCCGACAGGAGGATCGAAGGCAAAGTTAATAATAAGATTGATGGAAGCGGATCCAACTGGAACTTGGACGAGCGCGGACAGTATTGCTCAGGAAGGGGAGAGTGAATACGAGAAGAGTCGGACGCAATAAGAACCGGAGGTAAACGAACTATTACAACAAGAACTAGAAATCACGAGGAGAGAACGAGATGTGGCACAACGAGAAGCTGAAATAGCACGGCGAGAGTTAGAGTTGGTCAACACACTTAATACGCAGAACTCTAGCAACTCGACTGGAAGTCAGGAACTTCGCAAACGATCCGCGAAGATTTCCCCAATCGGCAGAAGTACACGTAATGCAACCGCAACTACGCGCGGATGTTAAAGGTATTGGTGATTTATTAGATGATTTTGATGGAATAAATCGCTTCGAAGACTGGGAAAAGCAAGTCCGACTAGTATAAAAACTTTTTAATGTAAACGACGCGATTATGAAAATAATTATCAGTTCTAAACTTAAAGGAAAGGCAGACAGGTGGTTCCGTTCGAGATCGGAGCATACGGAAATGACGCTCAACGCATTACTACTGGCAATGAGAGACGAATTTGATCAACGGCCGAGTAGAGTGGATCGTCTCAGAAAGTTCGAATCTCGGACATGGCAAGCGGGCGAATCATTTAATAACTACTATCACGAGAAGCTCATCTTAGGTAATTTGGTGCCAATTGAGGAAGCTGACTTGTTGGACTATCTGGTAGACGGAATACCTGATACGACGTTGCGAAATCAGGCGAGGATGCAAAATTTTGCTACTGTGAAAGATTTACTGAACGGATTCCGCAAAATATCCCTTTCTAGTCGGAAGAAGACTAAGAGAGAATCGTACTCCGTACTCCGTACTCATTGCACGGAGAGAGACAGACGGTAGATAAGTCAACTGTAAAGATAAAATCGGAGGCTTAACCGCAGAAAACAAAGCCGAAGGAAGAGAGTGAGAAGTCAATTAAGTGTTATAATTGCAATCAACCTGGACACCTTTCGAGAAATTGCCAAAAGCCTAAAAGAAAGCGAGGATTATGCTATAATTGTGGAAACATAGGACACTTGGCAAAAAACTGTCCGAACGATGAAACGACGGAGAAGGAAGAGACGCTTCAACTATCCAACGTCTATAAAGATTCAACGGAAGAAGACAGCGTCGAACACAGAAAACTCGTGATGTACGAGATAAAAGACTCTAGTTTAAGACGAATATTGTGTTTAGACTCACTTTTTGATACAGGCAACCCAATCAGTTTACTTAAGGTGATTGGCACCACCAAAAAACAATGACGCCTGCCAAGAAATCATAAATGTTAACACTATTGAAACTGAGGGCGATTTAGTTAGTAATCTGCAAATAAATTCAGCAATACCCTACGAAACGCAGGTCGAGTTAAAACGAATTTTCCGGGCATTGTACGTAGATTATCCAAAGCCGACGGGACTCAAAGTAAAGACAGAGTTAAAGTTACAATTAACAAACCCAGAGCCATTTCATTGTACTCCACGTAAGCTCCCGTATGATAAACAGCTGAAACTCCGAACAATCTTAGATGAGCTACTAGAGAAGGGATACATACAGCACAGTGACTCTGAGTTTGCATCGCCTGTTGTGTTAACTGAAAAGAAAAACGGGAAATTACGCATGTGCGTAGACTATTGAATCCTAAATAAGGTAACTGCCAGAGATAACTATCCTATGCCAATTATTGAGGATCAATTAGCAATCGTAGGAAGTAAGAAATATTTCACACTGATAGACTTAAAAGACGGATTTCACGTTTGGGCGGACGGTTAAATATACCTCATTCGTGATTGCATTAGGTCAGTACGAAAGGCTGAGAATGCCTTTCGGATTACGCACTGCGCCAGCAACTTTTCAGCGCTATATAAATCTTATTCTGACCGAGTTCACGAGATCTGGCGATATGGTGATTTACATGGACGACATACTGATTATTACTGAGACAATAGAGTATCATTTAGAAGTATTAGAACGCGTGTTTAAGACTTTTTTTCTTAGAATTTTAAAGAAAATCTCTTAGACTTACGACTCGATAAGTGTTTCTTCCTATAGACACAGGTGGAATATCTTAGCTATGAGGTTTTGGGGAAGGGCGTGAAGCCGACAAAGAAGGGCATCGAAGTAGTTGAAAAGTTTCCAATTCCAAAAAACACTCGGGACGTCCGTAGTTTTCTTGGACTGTGCTTCTATTTTAGGAAATTTATTGAACATTTTGCTTTAATTGCTAAACCTCTTTATGACCTGACAAAGGCAAGTGCGACATTCCAATTTGGTGAAGCGGAATATAAAGCATTTAAAACACTTAAAACTAAACTTATAGAAGCCCCAATTTTAGCGGTCTATAACCCGAATAGCCAGACCGAACTGTACTGTGACGCGAGCTCCGCGGAGCGGTTCTTATACAAAAGCAATCCGACGGAAAAATGCATCCGATATTTTATTACTCACGTCAAACAACGGAAAAGGAAGCTAAGCTACATAGTTTCGAACTCGAAACCTTTGCGATAATTTACGCATTAAAACGATTTCGGATTTATCTTCTAGGGCTAAAGTTTAAGATTAGACCGATTGTAGTGTCGTCACGCTGACATTAAGAAAGAAGGACGTAAACCATAGAATCGAGAGATGCGCAATCGCGTTACTCGACTATGATTATGAGTTAGAGTACAGGGCGGGAACGCGTATGCGTCACGTAGACGCTCTTAGCCGAACTGTTGGCGTGATCGAAGAAAACTCCTTTGAATGGGATGTAGCAGTGTATAAGGGACAAGATTCTAAAATAGTTGAAATTCGTGATAAACTTGAGTAGTCGGAAGATAAGTTCTACGAACTGAGAAATGGTCTCATCTATCGTAAGTATAATGACCGGTTATTGTTTTGCGTGCCTCAACAAATAGAAAAAAACGTTTTGTACAAATATCATGACAAGGTGGGCCACTTAAACGTAGAGAAGTCGGCTCAAGCCATTCTTGAAAATTATTGGTTCCCGCAGCTCCGCGAGAAAGTTAATAGTCATATCAGAAACTGCTTGAAATGTATCACATTTTCTTCAATTAGCGGAAAGGTAGAGGGCTTGGTCTACTCAATACCTAAGGGCAGTGTACCCTTCGACACCATACATGTCGACCACCTAGGATCGATAGATAAGAGACGGTTGGTTAAGCAACATCTTCTGGTCGTGGTTGATTCTTTTACAAAGTTTGTCAAACTGTACCCGACTAAGACAACTTCAAGTAAGGAGGCTATTGGCTGCTTGCAGCAATATTTTGAACATTACTCGCGACCGAGAATGATGGTTACAGATAGAGCTGTTTTACGAGCGCCGGATTTGGAAATTTTGTAACCAGTAGCAAAAGTAAGCACGTTAAAACCGCTACGGGTTCACCTCAGGCAAACGGTCAGGTCGAGAGAGTTAACCAGACTCTGATTCCGATGTTAGCCAAGTTGTCAGACAATTCAGCAGTGAAATATTGGTATAAAGTAGTCGCCGAGGTCAAATACGCATTAAACAATTTCGTAAGCAAAGTTACGGAGAAGACTCCAAGTAGGTTATTGTTTGGAGTAAAACAGCGTAGTCAGCCAGTATAATCTAAGCGAATATCTACAAAAGGAAAACGCACACGAGCAGCTTGAGACAGAAAAGTTAAGAGAGTAAGCATCTAGCAGAATATTACGGTCTCAAACGTATAATAAAAAGTACGCGGATTGCAAGCGCAAATAATAATAATAATAATAATAAAATAAGAGCAAGGGGGCTATTAGAGTCTCTTTATGTGTCACCTAGATCTATAAGATCTTCTGTGACTCCCGCTAGTTGCTTATCGGCCTATCTGCTTCAGCCCGGCATTTTCTGCCAGGCTTCGCAGATGGCTGATCTTGATATTTTTCAGGTCCTCGGGCCTCACAAACATGCAACCCAAGGATAGTTTTTTAAGAACTAAGAATGGACAGCGACACAGTATATGCTTGCTGTCCTCCTTTTTCTCACCGCATAATCTGCAGTTTGCTTCGTCGGCCAGTCCCATGTTGTACAAATGTACCTTGAAAGCCCAGTGTCCAGTGAGAAGACCGATACTTAATCTTAGTCTATCTTTATCCATAGCCAGCAGTTCTTTAACCCTGCTTGACGATGGCTGACTCATCAAGAGTTTGGCCTGGCGACAGCTTTTCAGTTTCTTCCAAGAGTCCTGGTGCTCTCGCTTCAGCCGACCCTTGATATAATTTTTCTCTACGGCAAAGGGAACGCCGACTTTTTGGCCAGCTGGTTCCTCTAAGGTGCCCAGCTTTGCCAAGCTATCCGCTATCTCATTACCGCGGATACCTTGATGACCGGGTACCCAAATTAGTGTGATCTTGTTATGATCTCCCAATCTGTTCAGAGTTTGCATGCAGTCCCAAACCACTGATGATTCAGTGGTGGTCTTAGTAAGGGCTCCTATAGCGGCTTTACTATCTGTGTAGATATGGATCCTCCTGCCATAGTCTCCTTTGAGAGCAGGAGTCTTGCACATTCCAGGATAGCCAAAACCTCCGCTTGGAAAACTGTGGCTAACCTACCCAGAGAGAAAGACTCACTGTGATTGTTTTCTGGACAATATATACCTGCTCCAAAGCGGTCGTTTTCTCCAGATCCATCGGTGAACCACGCATCTATGTTCGGTTGAATCTGTAAGTTTTTATTACACCATTTAACCCTAGTGGACAGATTTATAGAAAACGCCTTGTTTACTTGGTATATTCTGAGTATTCTATCTTGCTTCAGTGTGAAGGGAAATTTGTGGAGAAACCCGAGTTTGGTATGACCTGTCTCGAATTGTCTCCACTCCCCCTGACACCTTAGTCTATATGCTGTGAGTCCAGCGGTGCTGACTATTTGTTGACTTAGAGGAGGAATACAAAGTGCTACTTCCAGCGCTTCTGTTGGTGTTGTTCTCATTGTCCTTGCCGCAGCCCTTAGGTAGTTACCCTGTAGGCTTCTTAGCAGGTTCCTTGCCTCCGTCATTTTTACTCTAGGCCACCAGACTACAGCAGCATATGTTAATCTCGGTAACAATACCGATTTGTATATCCATAGAGCAGCATTCAGTTTAATGCCCCAGGACTTTCCCATTATTCTTTTACACGCCCAAAAAGAGGCGTAAAACTTGGATTTCTTTATTTCGAGATGTGTTTTTCAGCTCGGTTTGGTATCTAGGTAGACTCCCAAGTATTTGACTGACTGGACGTATTCTATTTCCTCATGCCAGATTTAACGGCTCAATGGCCTTGGATTTATATTTCCTGGTGAAAATCATGGCCTTGGTTTTTGATGGATTAGCCCTAAGTCCTTTTGATTGACACCAGTTATGCGTAAGCGTAAGTGCTTTTTCCATTATATCTTTGAGTGTTGCAAGAAAGTTGCCCACCACCATTATGGCCACATCATCAGCGTAACCATAGACAAGGAAGCCCGTTTTCCGCAACTTTTCAAGAAGTTCATCCACCAATAGGCACCACAATAAGAGAGATAGTACTCCCTCTTGCGGACAACCTTTGACTGGGAAGCCATGCACCATCGAGTCCCCATGACTAGCAGGGTTCTTCCTGTAAGCATGTTTTGTGTCTAGTCTGCTAACGCTGGAATGCCATACCTGGTCATTGCTTTCCCGATCACATCATACAAGGTGCTATCAAAAGCTCCCTCGATGTCCAGGAATACGCCCAAGGCATATCCCTTTGCCTCCAACTGTGCCTCAACTTTGCCCACAAGATGGTGCAGGGCAGTATCAGTTGATCTGCCCTCTCTGTAGGCATATTGAGAGGAGGCCAATGGATAGGTAAGCAAAGGGCCGTTTTTCAGGAACCCATCAATCAACCTCTCCAACGTTTTAAGAACAAAGGAGGTGAGACTAATAAGCCTAAAGTCTTGGGCTAATATGTAGCCATTTCTGCTAGACTTGGGTATGAAAACGACTCTCGTTCCACTCCAAGCCTGAGGGACGTGTCTTAGGGCAATACTTGCCCTAAAGATTTTTGTGAGTGGACCAATTAAAATCCCCAGACTCTCCTGAAGGAGAATCGGGTAGATTCCATCCGGTCCCGGTGATTTATAGGAGTTGAAGGTCTTAACAGCCCATTCAACACCTCTCCTAACTTAACCTCTTGGATAGACAACCTAACCTCTTGGATAGACTACCTTTGCTGTTAAATGCCACTCCTTGGGCTTATATTCCCTGAGCTTTGACCTACTAGAACTAGGTTTTTTATTGTCAAATCCTGGGAAATAGACATCCATCAAATGTTTTAGAGTGTCCGATCCTTCCTCAGTAATGTTCCCTGTTGGAAGCTTAAGACAGCCTAACTGAGGACAATGATCTAAGCTGAGAATTCTGCAAAGTCTGGATGCCTCCGGGGCACTCTTAATACCTTCGCAGAAGTGTCTCCAGCTTTTGCGTTTCGCTTTTGTGATTGCCTTGCTATATTCTCGTTGGGAGCTTCTAAAAGCTTTCCAGTGAGCCGCAAGGCCAGTTCTTTTTGCTTTGTTGAATCCCTTTCTTGTTTCTGACCGCAGCTTCTCAAGCTCATTATTCCACCAATAGATCTTGGTCACCGGCTTTCTTGGTCTCGACAAGCAGTTTGATTCGTAGGCATCTACAATGGCGTTTTATAAGTAATCCGCCGCATCTTCTAAATTATTCTTAGACCTATAACTAGTTGGGGCTCCAGCAAGCCGGACCTTGAGGTAAGCCCTGAAGCCGTCCCAATTAGTCTTCCTGAGATTACGAGCCCAGCTTATCGGCGGCGAGTGTTGAAGAGTTAGGCGTATTTGTCTGTGGTCGGATCCCGAAGGTTCATTAGAGACCCTCCAATCTCTCTCCAGACCCGCTACCTTCTCCGTACTCATCGTAATGTCAATAACCTCTCGTCTTCTTAAGTCCTGGAAGGTCGGCTCAGTTTCTCTATTTAGGATAGTGAGTCCTGTGCCCATTAGGAAGCCATAGAGACTCTCCTCCCGCGGATTAATATCAGTGCTCCCCCATCCGAGATGGTGGGAGTTTGCATCGCAACCCAGCAGGAGTTCAAGTCCCCTGTCCTCCGCATAGGCCACCAGGGTTTTTACCTCTTCTTGCGGTGGTGAATCCCTGGAGTCGAAGGGCATGTAAGCTGATTCTATCAGTACCTCCATGTCTTCCTTCTCGGCCAGTTGTACTCTCATCTTGATGACTGTGAGGTCCTCACTGCTGAGCTGTGGTAGAAAGATGGCATTTAGTCTTTTAACCAAAATGCAAGATCTTACTCTTTTTTCCGAGTGTGCTTTGTATAAATTACCGCATCCACTCAGTCCTCTAATTGCACCGTTTACCAAGGCTCTTGGATTAGTGCAATACTTGTTTGCATCATAGCCATGCTCCTAGCTAAAATTGCCGAGGCGCTCTTGCTATGATGCAAGTTAATTTGTGTCATTTGGATGCCAAGAAGAGCCATTTTAAGCAGTCTTGACACCCTCCAACACCTCCATTTGCTCGGTGGTCTTTCCGCGTTCCCGGCTTGCCACCACCTTAACAGTGGCGCGACCGGTTCCGCAGAAAGGTCTGAAGCCGCAGTTCTTTAGAGCTTCCAGCAAAGAGTCGCCAATCAAGCAGGCAAAGTGGTCGCTCGTGGCGTCCCTACTTTGACTCCCCCTGACGACGACCCATTGGTTATCAGTCCCGCATTTTGTTGGTTGAGGAGATTCAAGGCTTCCTCAACCTCTACATTGGGCTCCTTTACGTGTATCACCACTCGATGACGTCTCGGTAGCTCACCGGCCGCCAACACACGCAGAGGAGTTCCCCTAATCCTCCAATCAGAGGAATGACTTCTAAGCCACTCCTCCGACTCTTTACTGGCGCACACTATCTCCAGTGCCCCATCTATGTCCCAGGTGCCGATGAAGGTGGGAATTTTGGCATCTCCGGACATGCCGAGGATACGAGACTTAATCAATTTCTTGATTTCCAATCTCTCATCAGCTCCTAATTTCTTGTCGGGGTAGCCCTCCAATACTAGGGCCACCTTGACAGTTCTTGTTGTCATCTGGGCATAAGACCCTTCATTTCTGGGTCTCTTGTTCTAGCGATTGGTAGGGGGACTAGGGATAGCGTGCTCCGGCCTGGCGCGCTTTGCCACGTCACCCAAAACCCGTCCACCCCCAATTCCTGTTTTTAAAGCAACAGCAGTATGGGTGTGAGAGGCCTTAGCAGCCACACTCTCCTTCGCCTGCTTCTCGTTTCTCAAACGGCGCCTGGTGGCCCCGCTAAGTCTTTTGCAAGGTGGGACACAGAGCCCGCTCTCGTATCGTTTGGACTCCCTGGGTGTTTGCTTCCGAAGGAAGTTTCGCCCCTGTGAGCTTTGGAAGGGGTGCTTTCTGAAATGTTGAGTCCCACGAGTGTCGCGATCGCGCGGTCTCACCCGGCCGGAGCCGCGTATGGCCGGGGCTTGGCTCCGTACTCCTGGATTTCGCCCGGTATCCAGGAAGCACCGTTCAGGACGCAACACTCTTTGCGCCACGCAGCTCTCGGCACGGTTGCTCACACCTTAGCTTAGGGGATTCCTCTTAGTTGGCCGCGGGCGGGCCCACCCCTGAGCGGGTGACCACCGCCCGCAACTTTAAGCCCCACCACCCGTTCCGGCACGAGAGCCCCGAGCCCCCGAGGACACCAGATGCTCACCTTCTGTGGTCAATACTTGTCCCGTCAGTTTACACATTCGTTGTGGCAACACGACCGGGCAGATCTGCCAGCGTCCACTCGGGTGCTGACAATCAATGCCCGGCCGCGCCACTATCAGCACGCTGGGAACAAAATAAACGTTCCGTGTAGTTACTGCGAGGCGGCCAGACTACGTGCACACCGAGCGCTCCGCAGACCCGGAGCTCCCGCCTCGGAGCTACTACAAGGTAGGAACCCATTCGGGGAGATGGCAAGTGCAAAAGAGCATACAAATATTCCATGGGTGATTTAGTTTCAGTTAGAAATTTTGACAGTACGGCCGAAGCCGCACAAAAGCTTATACCTGTGTTTAAAGGACCGTACAAAATTTTAGAAGTATTCGATAACGATAGGTACAAAATTGTCGACGTTGACAAGTTCCAGAATACCCTACGTCCTTACCAGGGTGTTTGGCAAGTCGCGAATCTAAGGCCGTGGCACCAGAACTGAGAAAATAAAGTAATGAACTTCCATTTTCCTTCTTTTTATTTAGCAATAGTATAAATAGGTTGACTGATCTCATTTGTTTTAAAACATTGTAATTAATCTTTTTTATTATGTTTTGGTTGTTTAGTGGTTACGTTTTTAATCCATTATCATTTATTTTTCCAAAAATATTCTGTCAAGACGACAGATAGTCAGGTATGGCCGAATGTAAAACGTAAGTAAGTTTAAACGAAACAGTAGTACCAAACGCTGCCGCGGCAGAAAGCGCAAAGAGAGAGAAGAGAAGAGGAGTAGAGACAAAGTAAGAAGCACAAAACGCCGATTGCGGGACGGCTCACGGTATATTGTAATCGCCTGCTTTCTACAAATAAACTTTATTATTCCTTTCTGTATCTCCAAGTTATGCCGACCATCCTACACATCCTACAAATGATTTATATTATATTTATTATATATTTATATGTATATTCTTGTGTGATAAGTATGCTTTTAGTCGTTCTTCATTATTAATTATTGTAACAATTTGTTTATTTATTCCATAGCCATAGACATGATTTGCAATATTAGTAATTTTATAGAATATATTATTTATAGAATATATTTTATAGAATATATTTTTATAGAAAATATTTGTTTTTTTAAATGAACTGCAAATTATTTAACACACGAAAATAATCTCTGATGTATATGAAAGTATCTGCTGAAATATTGTGTGAAAATAACTGTTGGTGAATATTTTCTAATATTTATGCAACTCATTTTTAAATTTCTAAATATTTACAAAGTATAAAATATGATTATTTATTTTTTTACTTGGAACATGAATATTATTAAATATAGTATCTGTTTGTTTCTTGTGAATTTTGTACTTTATTATTTATTTAATTATTATAATATTATTCATTCATTAGTTATGTTGTTTATTAATCAATAT